ATTTGGGAGCGGGGTGAGTGTGTACTAGGTTGAAGTGCAGATCTCCAAAGCTTCTGCAGGGTGTGGGGCCTGTCCCAGGTTGTGAAGAGGAAGGGAGTGAAAACCGACCTGGGAGGCTAAACAAGGGGTGGGGGATCGTCCAGAACAAGGAGTCCAGGAGCCAAGGTGAGTCTACTCCTTTGAGTTTGGAGGTGTTCCTGAGGTATGCTGCCTCTCTATTAAGGGTGAAGGGCTCTAGGCCAGGAGCCAGAGGGAGGGTGAAAGCAGAGATTGACCTTCCTACTCACAGTGGTGGTCTTAGGAATAGTTACCGTAGCGTGTGTAGACATGTGTGAGGACAAAATGTACAGCAGTGAGCAGCAGTACTCTGCATAGGGAAAACACATGGATAGGAATTCTTCCCGTAACACTCCTTAGTCAGGGTGAAATGGGTGTCTTGAATACTGAAGGGAAGGAGAGAATGAGCCTAAGGTGTTCTTCCTATACCAGAACCTCTCCCACCTCCCGGGCCTACCAAGTATCTGAGGGTACAGACCTCATGGTATTCTGGGACTTGTTGTTTTTGCTGGCCTTGTTCTCAGCATGTTGGGAGCTGTAGTCCTTGGCAGCCACAGTCTGGCACAGCTGTTTAATGCCAGCTGCTGCCCATCCCCTGCATGGAGGGTGAGGTTTGGCTTATCCTGGTCTGCCCCCCCTCCTTGCAGTCCTGCCTCATGAGTCAGCTTGAAGCCACGGTCTACAGCCAGACTGGCTGGGTGGCAGGGGAGTGAGTCTTAGAGCTTCTTTTGACAGGGAGGGAACTAATAGGCTCTGGGTTAATGAGCAGATGCCAGGCATGCTGGGGTCAAGTAGAGCATCGTGTCATCACCTGGCTTCCTTGAGGCAAAGACTCAGGAGGCTAACTGAGTTGACCTGGAAATTGGGGTGCTAAGGAAAATGCCCTTCTTGAACTTTTAAGACCTGGGTGGAGAATAGGAGGGGAAGAAATGAGAACAGGTTGTACTCTCTTACAACACTGCCATTATTAATGTTCTTCCCTTTCCAGCCATATCACCCACCATAAAGGACCAGAATAGTCTTAGGATCTCAGTTCTAAAGAGGGCCTGGTGAAATAGGAAAGTCTGGCCTGCGATGATGGGAGCGACTGGCGTAGGAGAGCTTTTCGATCCCTAAGTGTAAATGTCTCCTTTCTCTCTGCCTCCTACCACCACATCTGCTGTTGCAATTCTCCCTGTACAATTAATCTCTCTGCTTCTCATTCAGGGAGTCTTTCTCTGCATTTTCAGAACTGCTGCCCAGATCACTAGGGCTGGCTTTTAGGCTTTTTTTTTTTTTTTTAATCTTGTGTTGTGTTTCTCCTGAGCTTAAAATTGGGCCTGTCCTCAGGTCTGACATGATCAGAAGTAAGCAGAAGTATTATTAATAATGACACTCTCATATGGAAGTCTCATGTCTATCCAAAGAGGAGGAGTGAGGAAGAGTATTTTGTTTGTTTGTGTGTTTTCTTGTTGTCTGTCCTCCCTCACTCCCTCACTCTCTTCCTTCCTTTTTCTCTTTTGAGACAGGTTTTCTCTGTGTAATCCTGACGGTCCTGGAACTCAGAGACCCACCTGCCTCTGCCTCCTGAGTTCTGGGATTAAAAGTATGCCCCACCACCACCCAGCTTGTTTGTTGTTCTTTTGGTTTGGTTTAGTTTGAGATAGGACCTCTTATAGTCCCGGCTGAATTTGAACTCCCTGGTGTAGTGCAGGCTGGCTGTAACCTGGTTTTGGTTGTTTGATTTTGAGGGAGAACCTCAAAATGTAGCTAGACCGGTCTTAAATTCAAGATCCTCCTGCCTCAGCCTCTAGCATTATGCTAAAGGGCACTGTGGTTGGTAGTACTGACAGGCTGCTGACCAACTAAGGATGACAGTGGGGACAGCTGGCTTTCAGCTTGACAGTCTCATCATTGTAATATTGATTTTTGGTTCACGAAGACCTTTTTTTTTTTTGTGCCTTGGAACCAAAGAAATAGTTTAGGTTTTTTGAGTATTGGCTGTGCACTGGGGGAAGGGCATGGGGAGATTCTCCTGTTTCCAGTCTACTGCCTGCTGCTTCCTTATCTCTGGTTTGCAGGGCCTGGGGGGGGGGGGGGTGAGAACTAGAAAGTACCTTCTGAGCATGTTTTCCTACCACTTGTTTTTGGTTGGATTTCTTTCCACTTGTTAAGAAGACAGATTGCTGGGGGCAGTTGGGATTTCAGATATGAAGGGCTGGCTTGGAGCTGACTTGAGGTTTGTAGGTTTGTAGTTATGTGATGGGGTGTGATAACCTCTGCCCGTAGCACTCTCAGGTGGCACTTGCCCCTTTGGGTAGACATATGGAGATGAGTTGTGTAACTGGGTGTCCTTGAGTAAGAGAGGTAAATTATTGCCCTGTCCACCTACTAGCTGACATACTCTCTCTCTGATCTTTTGGGACATTTCATTCCCTATCACTCAGGGCCAGTTCCCAAGAGAGTAACCCTGACAAATGGTTCATCTTGCCTCTACACATTTCTCATACCTTTAATACAGTCAGGCAAGACTTGCTTCTCTGTTGACTCCTCAGGTAGCCCAAGTCTTCTACCTGGGCCCTAGGTCTCAAGCCTGCCTCTTCTGTTTCTAAAGAGCTTGTCACAAAGAGGTAGGATGTCTTGTCTATGTGCTAATATACTAGCCCATATTAGTGGAGGGATTTTTATCATTGGCTTCAGGGATCCTGGCTTATATTTTCTCTCTTCTTTCAGGGTCCAGCTGAGCCCGGGAGCTGCACGGAATGGTGGCAGTCACCTTGCCAGTGCAGTGGGCATGGACCAGACTGCAAGCTAAAGGGACAAGGCATCAGACAGGAAGAGGGGACACACGCCTAGTCTTGAGACTTCCTCATCGGGGTAATTTCCAGGAAGAAGGAGGGAATAGCAAGTTCAGTAAGAATCTGGAGCTAAACATGTTCCCGTCTCTGGAAGTCTGAGAGTAGTCTCTGAATTCCATTCATCTGTTCTGGCATTGGACAACTTTACCTCCACAAACTGCTCAAGGTCACCTGTTGAGTTTAGGGGAGGGTCTGAAACTCAGCTGGAAGAAAGAAAACTCCTTGCTTGATTCCTCTGACCTCCTTTACTTCTTTTTTACAGATGTCCCCAGGCCCCCCAGCCCAGGCCCAGCATAAAGGACGTGTGGGGGCCCCCCCCTGACCAAGGGGGGCTTCATGCGCCACGTGCAGGCGGAGCTGTCTCCATCCTCAGAGCCAGAGGCTGGCCCTTCACAGCCTCCAGTCAGACAGGGGACCCTCCAGGGTGGCCTGCTCATGGGCTACAGCCCAGCAGGGGGGGCGACATCCCCCGGGGTCTACCAGGTATCCATCTTTTCCCCTCCAGCTGGTGCCTCTGAGCCTCCTAGGGCT